GATTAAATACCATATTGAATTGCATGTTCAATCATTCCAAAAGATGTTCCAAATACACTCGATACTGTTATCAAGCATAAATTTAAAATATAAATTTGAAATATATATAACATATGCAAAGTTCATTTAACTTTATGATAGGTAAAACAATCCATATTTCTTATTGTTATGCAATGTACATGGAAAACTTAAATAAATAAAGAAAAAAGTTTATTCTAATATGTCTTTGTTATGTATGCGACACAAAATCTATAGCTTTGGAATTCTCTGCTCTTTCTCTTTATATTGCACAATATGCAAACATTTTAAAAACAGAAAATGCCAGTCGTTGAAAATAGGCAAGGTAAAATACGAACGACGTCTATATAGCCGACTTTATACTATATGCTACATACATACATAATCGAGCAGGCCACATATAGGTATTTGTGTATGTATACAGATACATGTACATATACATATTTATGGCCAAGGGAAATGTAGGTGATGTTCAGAGCAAGAGGACACCTTCGAAAATGCCTCCAAGAGCAAAGATGAATAAAACAAAACTAGTTTTTGAATGCTATGGATACGAAAATGTATATAGCAGACGCATAAAGCGCTAGAATGTGTTCATAATACGCCAAAATAAATTTCAACATTCACCAAACTGATGTACATACCGATGTATATAGCTATTGTATGTGCATATGTATGTATTTAGAACTATGCATGTACGCATTTTCCGAGGCGTACAACCATTTGCTCTGGCCGTTAAAATTAGATTCTGATTAGAGGAGCATACGATGAGTAAACATTTCAGCCCACCGAGCTGCGTGGACCATGGGGCACCACCCGCTGCCCACCGTGCGCCTGGTCGGACCTCGCCTTGCAGATACTAAAAAAGGCAGCACGAATCGGGCAGACACAGATACAGATACAACGGAACGAATGCCGAATGCCGACTGGGTAGTCGGGTCTGGGTTCGGGTTCGGTTGATGAAGAAGAAACGGCCAAAAAAGATCTTAAAACATCATTGTCTTGACGATAAAATCAGCCATTGATTCAGTGTGCTCTGACCGCTCGACTCGATTAGACAACACATCAAAGTTCAGCACCATGGTAAGGAGACACGGGATATACTATAGTACCAGATCTAATGGACCGCTCTAAAGGACTCGCGTACTATATATATATATATACATATATCTATCTATCTATATATATATATATATATATTTGTTGTGCAGTGAATTAGTTGCATTCGAAAGTTATTCAATCGAAACTGAAATGAATTATTGAAATATTGTTATTAAAGTAAATATAAATAGTTAAAGCTCAAGTGAATATCGTTAAATGATCTCAATGACTCACCTCTATGTGGATTATTGTGCCAGTTGCCAGTTGTGCCTGGATATAAACATATATACCTACTCGATAATGGAAAATAGTTGAAACGAAAACGAATTTGAAATCCAAATGGTGTGAATAAGTTTCTTTCATTTCGAAATATTCTTTATACACACGCGTTAAATTCTATAAATGGATCGGTCGGAATGTAATATGATAGCTAGAGCGAGACGTATATAGCTTTTGCTGTATCTTACGTAATACGCGTCGGGTATTTTTAGCCAATCAATTGGGAAATTTTCTTTCGAAATATTTTCGAAATCTACATAGAAAATTGACCAAAGCAAATGAGCCCCAAATATGATTGAAATATTAATGAAATATATTTTCTCTACTTCCTATTCCAAAACTTTAGGCGGATGAGAAGAAGAAGGTTAAGAAGAAGAAGACCAAGGAAGAGGGTGGTACTTCCGAAACCGCTTCTGAGGCAGTGTCCGAGGCAGCAACCCCCGCACCAGCTGCTACTCCTGCCCCAGCTTCTGCTACTGGTTCGAAGAGAGCGTCGGGCGGCTCGCGTGGCTCCAAGAAATCGAAGCGCGCCGGCTCCTCGGTGTTCTCTGTCTTCTCCCAGAAGCAGATTGCCGAATTCAAGGAAGTAAGTTTTGTCAAATAACAATCCAAGCCCAAAGTTCCCTTGGCTTCACCTGCGTCTATGCCAGTGCCTGTTACCTGTGCCTATGCCATGTCATGTCGCATCCATGACCATCAAATCACAACAAGACCAAATCACCAACCACCTCTCTCTCTCTCTCTCTCTCTTTCTCTCTCTCACTCTCTCTCTTTCTGCGCGCGTGAATCAGGCCTTCCAACTTATGGATGCCGACAAGGACGGTATTATTGGCAAGAACGATTTGCGCGCCGCCTTCGATTCCGTCGGCAAGATCGCCAACGACAAGGAGTTGGACGCCATGCTGGGCGAAGCCTCCGGTCCAATTAACTTCACCCAATTGCTGACCCTGTTCGCCAACCGTATGGCCACCTCTGGTGCCAACGATGAAGACGATGTTGTTATTGCTGCCTTCAAAACATTCGATAACGATGGTCTCATCGATGGTGATAAATTCCGCGAAATGCTCATGGGCTTCGGTGAGAAATTCACCATGAAGGAGGTCGATGATGCCTTCGATCAGATGGTCATTGATGATAAGAACCAAATCGATACCGGCGCCCTGATTGAAATGCTAACCGGCAAGGGTGATGAGGAGGAAGAGGAAGCCGCCTAAGCAGTAGCTGGCCCCGTACACATCCTAACTCTAACTCAGCATCCATATTACAACCAACAACAACAACAACAACAACAAAAAAAAAACAAAACTTAAAAACTTTTAAAATCGTCTAAAAAAAATAATAAACGTAATTAAAAGAAATGCTCGTTTTACATATGTAAATTTTAAATATTTATATAATCTCTTTTTGTTAACCAACACCACCACCAACAAGAACAACAACAACAACAAATTACAACAACACAAATTAATACTCTTAACTTCTTCAACAAACAATTTGATATGAACTAAGAACATTTAACCATGTACCAAGTTCCACATATCATTTTAGGGATACTTTAAATCCAAATGTCGAAGCGCCATCTTGACAGCTAGTTTTCTAGTTGATTTATTATTAAATTTTACACGTAAAATTTATAAATAACTGAAAGTCTATTTTATTTCAAAAAACACACAAAGAAAATACTTAAAAAAAAAGAAGAAAAAACAAAGAAATTCACATGTTTATTTTAATTGCTGTTCGTTGAAGAATCACAGAGAAAGTTACAAAAATAAAGATGAGCAAGCGCCGTGGGTAGCTTATGATATAGATATATACATAAGTATATATGTATATCATCGATATCTATACGAAATATATATACAGAAATAGGTAGGCCTTGGCCCACATTTGTTAGTTAATCATTTTACAGGTTAAGGAGAGAGAGACATATACAATTCGTTATCGTTAGGTTACTTTCATCTGAGAGCCAAATATTCTATATAACTAAACACTTGAATACTATAATATATTATGCATATATCTCAATCGTTCGTTTAACAATATTTCAATATTTACCAATATCTATAAATATATATTTTCGAAATATATCAAATTACAAAAGTTATTGAGAGTTAGCTTAATGAAAAGAACAAAACATTTTAAATGTTCATTCACTCAAATTGTTTTTTTTTTTTTGTGCCAATTTATTTAATTTACCCAAATGAAAAAAAAAAATGAGAAGAATATTCACAAACTTTCTGCTTATGAACTACTTACTATCATGAAAAAAAGTGTTTCAAGTTTATGCGTTTAACAAAAGTATCGAAAAGTTATTAAAATGCAAAAGTTAATATTTATTTTTGATGAGTTCACGTTTATGTGTTTTCTAAACAAACGGAGATGGCACTATGCCTTTTTACATAGATCTAAATATTAATATACCCATACATATATATATTCTATATGTACATATGATACCACATCAGTGTGTACTTAATGGGCGTGCTCGAGTTCGAATTCGATATCGTCTTTATGTCGAATCTTTTTCGAGAGCAAATAACTATCCCCCCTAGCTAGGACAGAGGCAACTGAGGCAATGGGCGTTCGACTCATTGCCGGGTGCATCAGTACCAGAAAAGTGGAAAGGAAATAGGCAAAAGAAATATTAGAAGAGAAACATATCTAGTAGTTTTGACTTGAACAATACACAATCATTAATACTAAGGCTATATTCAAGCAAAAGCAGTAGCATCACTTCACACTAATTACCTACTAAAGGAAATTACAAACACAATAACTAATACAACAAACACAATCTATAATTAAACCAATTCAATTCAATATGCCACGAGTTGTTAAGTGCGAAAATCTTTACTTCAGTATAAATTAAGTTACTTGGCAAAAAAGAAAATATACAAAAAAAAAAATATAAGTAAAATAATAATAATTACTTTTTTAACCCGGTCAGAAATATTACCAAAAAAAAAAGAACTGTTTTTATATAACAATGATGATGATGATGATGATGATGACTTTAATAGAATAAATCAAAAGCGAGTCGTCTAAAAAAGAAAAACTACGTTGTTTCATTTCATTTCATACATTTTAGTGGCAAGAAAAGGTAGTTGAGCAGAGAAAACCAGTTGCTCTGATTTATAAATATAAATTATTTATATTTATGTCCCTAAAAGAATGAAATAGAACTAAGAACTAATGATAGCCAAGCTTATTAAATTAAAATTTCTCAATAATTTATGAAAGAATACCAACTTGAGTCATTTGCTTTATGTTAATTCAAAGATCAAGAAAAAAGCCAGAATTCGCGCTGTTGAGAGTTTTTCGTTTAAAAATTGCGCCATTTGACGAATTAAAGTAAGCAAAGCTGGCAGCACTGGCTGCCATAAAAGTTGTATAAGAACTGCATCGACTAACTACTTGTATAAGCCAGTTGGCCGAAAAAGAAACTCTTTGTTCATTTTGTATAAGAGCTGTATAAGACTGGCTCGAGTTAAAATTAAAGCAAAAGCGAGACACCTTTAAAAAAATTATTAAATTTCATTCGCATTTGGCTTGCTGCAGGAGCAGTATAAGTGTCGTATAAGAGCAGCTACAGCTGGCCACGGCCGGTTGGCTGCGGAGTTGAGCGTAGCAAAACAAAATCTCAGCTAAAGCGTGACTCAAAGCAAAACCTGACAACATAGCCAAACTCTACACATTTAACAAAAAAAAAAGCAAGAAACGCTTCAAGCCGTGCTTTGTTTTCGACCAGTTTTCAGTTGGATTGCAACGTGTGCGGTTTCTTCCACAGAGCGCACGCATGCGCTGTAAATTATGAAAGTGTTGAGCGCAACAGTAAAAACAACTATTTGGCAATTGCTTTAAGACTTAAAGCTTGTTTAAAAAGAAGCTAAAAGCAAGTCTTAGACAAGCAGCTGAGGAACATGCCGCAGGGCATCCAGCGATGGGGCGCCATATTCCGGCAGCTATGCGTCATTTTGGCCCTTGGAATTGCTACACAGAGCGGAGGTAGGTGGAAGCACACACATACATATACATATTTGTACACATACACATGTGTATAACAAGGTTTTACAAGAAATGCGGAACAGCCTTGTTCAATCACCTTCGATTCCCACGCATTGTATGCAAATCCATCGAAAGAAAATCCACGGGGAATTCAGATTATGCTGCACGTAAGCGAAAAGGAAAGTAACGAGTGCTCTATTTATGAATAACCGACTTTGAGATACCCAGCTCGACGTGAATAATATAATACTAACCTCACATCGCCATAACTGAATTTTGAGCGAAGTGCAGGAAGGCATTCAAGAAAAGTAATAATTCTTGATTTGTTTGCTATTCAAGTACCTATATACTAACTTTTATATCTATAGCTCTTATATTTTCCGAGATATGCTCCGAAAACCTAAGCTGTAAATTGATATTTATCGATTTGGCCATATATATGTGTATATATGTATATATATATGGTCGGAGATGTTGTTTTCTACCTGCTTTATAAATGTGAGAAAAAGTATAATACACTTTTCGCACACATACTATGATTGCAGGGTATAAACATGTTAGCCAACATATATTTTGAGTCATCATCCAATTTGCTTTGTTCTTCTGCTTCGTAAACAGCCGCGGCACAGCATCTGATTGCGTACATCTCGCAGCATGGACTGCACGGCGAGATCACTTTCCGCCAGGCCGGTCCGCAGCTGGTGGAGATCCAAGCCAATCTGGAGGCGACACTGCAGTATCCGGATCAGGTTTGGAGCTGGGCGGTGCGACGCTTTCCCGTCGACTACACCAATATAGAGCCCGATGAGCGCTGCGAACTGGAGCGCCTGGGCGGACAGATCTTGAGTTTCGATGAGGAACTGGACTACTTGGTGCTGCCGGGCAATGAGACGGCCAGCTGGCAGCACAAGATGCAGCTAATTGGAGATCGTGGCATTTGGGGCAAGTCTCTGGTGCTGACAGAAGTCAATTCCAATGCGCGCATTTGCGCGACGATCACCACAGTGCAAATGCCCGTGGAGCACATGGCAGAGGCCCGCTTCAATACGCCCATTGCAGGCTCTGTTTACTTTCGCTGGCTGGCGCCGGCCGACGGCGCCAGCGGCGATACACTGATCTACTCGGATTTGTATCATATTCAAGCGCAGCCCGCAGTTCCAGGGCAGGAGAAGCAGGGGCGAGAGTTCACGCAACATCACTGGAAGATCTTTGTAACGGACATCTTCAAGCACGATCACCATCGCAGTGAGGATAACTGCAATTTCCTACAGCTGGTCTTCGATCCGCAGGGCAGCGGTCCAGGCCAAGGCATTGGCGACTTGGATGCGCGGCTGGGCAGGATTGGCGTGGCCAAGAATGCACTGCGTCAGCGACAGCGCAGCGTCTTTCGCGATGCCAAGCTGGCGCTCTTGCCCTCCGACCTGACCATACCGCATCGCACACTCTATCTGGTACTCTACGACAATCAGCATCCGGACAACTACTTGGCCTGCACCAAGATACGCCACGTTCAAACACTGACCTACAAGTAATTCGCAGCTGTAGCCATTTGCACATCACTAGCTAACTGTTCGTGCTCTTTTCCAGAACCTTCATCAATTCCGGCGGCGTCAAGGGCGAGGTGACCTTTACACAGCGCTCCAAATTTGATCCCACTTTCCTCAATTTTACCCTGTCCACTCCTCATGCGCCGCACGTGAGCCGCAAATTTGCCGAGGATGTCGCTGCCTTTCGCATTCACGGTCTCCCGCCCGCGCCGCAACGCATCGGCCAGCCGGACTACTGCGAGACCACGGGCGACCTGCACAATCCCCGGGAACTGCAGCAGGAGCACGTGCCGCCGCCTGGCTATGGCACCCAGGAGCAATACGCCCTGGGCGATCTCAGTGGCAAGCTGCAGGGCCGCAACAAGCAGTACTGGCATCAGTATGTCCTGCCCGGCACCAGCTCCGAGCTGAGCGGCCTCTACTGGGACCTCTATCTGCCCCTGCAGGGTCGCCACAGCATCGCCCATCGCAGTCTAGTCATCTACACCTACAACCGGAGCGATGTCCATAACATAACCAAGAATATATGGGGTTGCTCCCCGTTGAACCAGTATCAGCGGAACGGGGTGTATCAACAGCCCATGTTTACGGCGCAGGTAAACATCAGTATCTGCATCTATTTCTAGATGTAGATATCTACATCATCTATATCTATTTCTATATCTATATCGTGTCTGCTCGTATGTTTTATATATAGGTACTTTTCCGCTACCCTATAGTCGGTCGTGTCATCTTTCGACAGGCTGCCGAGCAGCCCTGGCAGGATACGACAGTGCTGTTTGAGTATCTGATTCAAGCGGATGGCTCCACGCAGAACAGCACCTACGAGCACCGCTGGGCCATACACAGTAATGCGCCAGGCAAGGATTTCTATGACTGGCAACAGCGCTGCCTTTCGGCCGGCGGGGTCTTTAATCCGTTCAAGGTAGATTGGGGCAATCGCAGCGTCGATGACTACTGCCAACCGCAGCTGCCAGCCATGTGCCGTCTGGGCGCGCTGGATGCACGTCTGGGCAGACTCACCATAGCTGGTGGCAAACGCAACGCTAGGCAGCTGAGCCGACGCATGTTCAGCGATGGAAATCTGCCGCTATCCGGCACCCACAGCATCCTGGGCAAATCACTGGTTATCTACGACGACAACGGTCCCAAGGCTAGAGGCGAGCGACTGGCTTGCTCCAGCCTGATCGGTCACTATCGCCGCAAGGTGGTCGCCAAGGATTGGTACGCCAATGGAGATGCACTGACGGTCGCCGGCAAGCTGGAAATAACGCAACAATCGGAGTACGACATCAGCAATGTGGAGGTGCAATTGAAGGGGCTGCAGGACAACGGTGGCTATCACATACACATGGTAAGAAGTGGCCAGCATTCGGTTGGGACGCGTTACTGATCTGAAGTTGAATTTGCAGACACCCGTGGAGGCCAACCTGGCATTTCCCTGCGAAGCCTCTACGCTGTACGGCCACTGGAATCCTTTTGAGGTCAATCCGAAATCGTCGCCACCACCCAAACAGGGCACCAGCGATCAGTACGAAATGGGCGACCTGAGCGGCAAGTTTGGGCGCCTCAATGGACTCACCCACTACGAGGATGCCTATAACGACACCTACCTGCCGCTCTTCGGCTACAGCAGCATCATTGGGCGTTCCGTGGTCATCCACAAGCAACAGAAAAACGCTCGCTGGGCCTGCAGGTGAGTTGACGGACTAACTGACTGAGTGTGATATATATTTTGTATATTTTCAGCACATTGGAGCGTGGCTATAGTCCAAGTGAAGCGCGGGAGTTGCGTGCCATTGCCTCATTTCACCATCCTACAGGCTATGCCTATGGCTACATAAAGATGACGCAGCTCATCCACAATGATGGCAGTCAATCGGAGACCGTGATTGAGGTGAAATTGCGGCATCCTGGCAAGAACGATCGCAACTCGACACGGAACCACAACTGGCAAATCTTTGTCAATCCGGTTGGTGTCGATGCCGCCGTCAAGCCCACAATAACACGCTGCGTGGCAGGTGGTTACGTCTGGAATCCCTTCTATACACAGCTGGCGGATCCCTTAAATGTAGGTGGACTATATGAATCTGATAGAGGTACGTCTAATCCGAATTATCTTCTTGCCTGCAGCTCGATCTCTATGAACAGGAGTGCGGACCGGACAATCCGTTGCGTTGTTATGTGGGAGATGTGGGTGCGCGTTTGGGCACCATAGGTAAGTAGCTCCACCAGGAGTTTTTACATTTAATATATTGCCTAATATGAACTTAAATCAGACCTGGGAGGAGAGCGCGTGGTGCTCACCGATACCAATTTTCCGCTGGAGGCGCCCGTTGGCGCCATTGGCCGCTCGATTGTCATCTTTGGGCCGGACCATTCGCACGAGCGTTTCGCCTGCGCCAACATCGAACCGGATCACAATGTCATCAAGTACATTAATCTGCAGAAGCCGCCACGTTTCGTTGTGTAAGTCCAACCCACCAGCAGTGTCCAATCCTCAACTTAAACACGTTTCGTTTGCAGCGCACAATTTCTGGAGGAGCTGCGATCGGTGATGGGCATCCCGGAGTGGATGCTAGACGTAGATGCGCGCAAAACAAAGGAGCTGCACGGCGGCGCCTGCATCCAGATGATAATACACTTCAAGGGTCCTCTGGCGCATCGTCTCGAGCTGGACATGTCGCGTCTGATAGCAGCGGGACGTCTGGATGCACCAAGTCTTTTCATACCGGGCTATGTCAACCAAAAGCGCAAGGCAACCATCTCGTATCGCACGTGCGGCGTCAGGGATCGTAACGAGAAGCGTGAGTACATAGCAAGCTGGGATTAAACGCACGCCTCTAAAAGAGATTCTCCCTCTTTTTTTCTTTCAGGCACCAAAACCTTCAAGGGCAGTTTCTCAGCCAGTTTAGCCTCAACCCAGCCAAAGTTTTACATATTAGCTGTGACAGTCATCAGTTTAGTTTTTACCAGACTCCTGTAAATATTTTGTATAGATTAAGTAAATGGCAATAAAAGATATATATAAAGATAATTGTTGTTTATAACTTAAATATATATATATATATATCTTTGCGTTTGAATGTGAAATGCTCTTGCAAACATAAGGAAGATTTGAAATTCTACAATAAGTTAAACTACTTAGAGAGAAGTTCAGAGTTTCCTAACAAATTCGATTCTTCCCCATATGGTAACTATTTACAAACAAAGCTCGGCATTGCGTTGCCAACAAGTGGACTTGGGTGATATTTTTATCACCCTCAAGGAAGCAATTCGGCTGTTCTCGATTAGCAGCAAAAGCACCCCCGAAAAATGAGTAAGATGTGGTATGAGAATCTTTTTTGTGCGCCTGCGCCCTGCTCGCCCCGAGGCCATCGATTTTTCTGTTTAAGATTTTTCCCATCAGTTTTGTGCGAAGTGCAGTCATACGTGTTGTCAGTTTCTAAGGAATTAGTCGCGAATAATGCAGCTAATTGCAGTTGGGGTTTTTATAAGTCTGGTGCTCGGCTCCAGCGCGGCCATAAGCGGACCGTATCTGTTTTGGGGTCACGACAAAGTAACCAATTTGCAACCCCAAGCGTTAGTCGACGCCAGTACCAGGGAGCAGCCGCTGACGCAACTGTTCAAGGATGCCAAGGCAATAATTATTTTTTTGCGCAATGCCACAAGCCGCCTGGAGGGCATCAAGTATCCCAAGTTTCAAAATCTGGTGAAGAATAACGCGTGGACATATATGCCGCAGCGTAACCTGGCCGTAGAGCCCTTTATCTACAACGCCAACATTGAGGTGTGTATCTATTATAACATTTGTGGCATGTAGAGCACCATTCACCACCCACTAAACACCCGACCACACATTTGAACAGGTCATCAACCTGACCGGGCAGAGCGAGGAGGACGACGCGGAGCTGCTGACGGGCTACAATGATGCGCTAACCGTTTATGGCCATGGTGAAGTGCTAGGCATACTAGCAAGTCGCGAGGAAGAGGCACACTATCTGGCCAAGCGCGAAGCCAAGGACGAGGGCAAAGAGGAGGCCACAACCACACAGTCAACGCCAACTGAGACGGAGGTGACACACGTCTACATAGCCGAGGGCAATAAGGCGGTCTTGGCCCTAAACGGACCACCCGAGCTACGCTTGAGCAACGAGACGCTGCTGCTGGAGGAGCACAACAAATTAATCACCTTCGATGATCAGCGCTCCAAGGGCTTTGGACGTCTGAGCATTACCTTCATGTACAACAGCGAGAAGTGCACGCTCCGATTTAAGTTCTCGCTGCTGCGCGGCACCTGGCATCTGCGCAACGTGGAAGTGGAATACCGGGATTATAAGGCCGTATTGCCGGCAATTGGTAATGAGTATACGCTGCCATCGGCACCGCTAGACTTCTCGTTCCGCTGTTCCTCCGAAGAGCTGCTCTTCACCAATATCAACAGCAACAGCAATGAGACGCAGATGAGTCTGCTGCTGACCGATTACCAAGTGCAGCCCTGGCTAAATGGCCGCAAGGAGTTTGGCGATGTCTACGACTGCGTTGGCTTCATCTCGGCTCCCATTCTGGCCGGCCTGCTGGTGGTCTTCTTTCTGTTGGGCATCCTCTCACTGGGTATTTCTGCCATGCTGAGCATTCACACGCCAAATCGCTTTGAGAGCTCCCGCAATAAGCAGCTGACTTTCACAGTGCAGGAGTAGAGCTGCATATCCGCCTGGACGAGAGTGTTCCGCAGCTTGTAGCATCGCTTTGGACCCTGCTGCAATATGTTTGTCCTGATCACTTTTACGCCTGTTAATCCGCTGGCATTATTAACGTTGGCCATCGAATTGTTTCTCATACATTTGCTGTTTGTGCTGATTGTGCTCTATGTTTATGTGCTCTGGTACTACTAATATAATGGCAGCCATTCAAATTACCTACAAGCATATATACATATAAATACTCACTACAATTAAGCAATTTAATTCAACCCAAGTTTGGCTTAGTTCGAAATTTCAAGCGTATGTCTTGATTCGGCTTACTCACTTATCGAATTTTCACACATTTTATCGAAAATATACCAAAAGTTGGAATTTTTAGTCACTAATTTAATAAGAAATACCAAACCAAATCTAACGATATATCGATACTTCGATACTATAAAACAATTTTTGGCGCCTTCGATTCTTTTAAAAATGAAAATTAACATTTAATTTATTTTAAGTAATTTATTTAGTTATCTATGTTGCTTTATTTCATTTATGTTAAAAGTTTACTCTAAATATTATAATTTGGACTCAGAACCAAAACCATTTGAATAATAAATAAATTAGTGAACAATATATCGCACGTCTAATTGTAGTTTTCACTATAGTCAAACATTTTGTGTTGACCCGGCAGATTGTCATTGCTGGGTAGGCCACGAAAAAAAAATCTGGGCGTCGAATGGCAATGCTGATGAGCATGGCAATGGCCGTGGTGATGTTTATGTTCCGGTGCCGCCTTCCAGAGGAAACCATTAAACTGGTGGTGGTTGGGGTGGTTGTGGTGGTGGTGGTGGTGGTGTTGGTGGTGGCGATGGTGGTGTTGGCCATGATGATGATGATGCGACCACCATGGTGCAGCAGACCTTTCTCCATGGCTCATCTGGTCATGGTGCGGCCTATTTTCCCTGGAGCAGAACATTTTCGGAACACTTAATTGTTTTTGCACTCGGACAAGCTTTGCTATAAACGATTCAACGAGAGAACTCGAACTGCGGCACGAACAAGCGAAACGGCTCTTAAATACCAAAAGTGCTGTCTGATAACATTTCATACGTTCTGGCGTAATATGTGCTAGCTGCTGCGTATTTGCCCTAAAGAGAGCTACCTGACTGATAAACTTGACCGGGTCTAGACTTTTTTGAGAGTTGATAGTGTGTTGTTTATATGTATATAAAAAATTATACTCTGTACTCGTGAATTCATACACTAGATATACATAATTATACTTGCAATATAAATAGATAAATATTACTGCAATTTATTATTAAGAACTTTAATGTGGGAGAGCATTTGAGCACAGTATAAATAAAAAAATAAAAAAAATTGGTTTATTGCATTTTGGTTTTGATATCTGCTTATGAAGTTGACTTCGCTAGCTGAGAGATTGTGAAATTGGCAAATGTTTGTTTACTAATGAAAAAGTGAAATGCATTGCTGCTGAGAAAAATGAAAATGAAAAAAGAATTTCAAATCTGGTTGCCGAAAAAGGATGGCCGTCTGGCTGGAAATTCTGGTTATCTGCTTTATCAGTTTTCTTCGACTCTTATTTCATTTTTCACAACTCTCAGCAACTCACTTTCATTGCCAACTGCACTCGCACGCAATTAAAGCCGCACAAAAGTGATGTCCATATGCTCATCGTGCAGTTGCCGATGCCCCAACTGCCCAACGGCATGTGGCATACTGGCACCTACATCTCGGCTCCTATGTTGGGGACCAGCCCAGGCCGAACTGGCCGCGCTTTGATTTATGCATCATTAAGTCACGCCAATTGCTCGTTTGAGGCGCGAGTCTTTTTTTAAAAATTTGTTTGCCTATACTCTGTTAATAGATTAATATAGAGTATATTGGCTTGTGCCACGTTCGAGTTACTGATTATGTTCGTGTATATCTGACGCCAAACTAACACAAGTGCAAATCATAAAATATTGAAAATATACGACTTTGAGATTGGCAAACCCAGCTTCACAACCTTTATCTAAAGGTAGGCATTAGGTGTGACCACGCCCACACTTGACACTGAAAATTTCATAAATTTGTAAGATCACAGTTTGACAGTCATTGCTTGATGGCGACAATTAAACAAGCGACAACGCAACAAACCAATAGACTCGATGCGACCTGCTTTACGTTGTTGTTACGCTGTGAACAGAGCATTGAGCAGTCGGCAACAGCCGTCCGCAATGTTCTTACTTGTTTTAGTTGCTTTTGGCTTGAATGCGAGTCAGTGGCCGGTTTTTATTTTTAATTTCTACGACTGACATACGACACTAGCCGCTGGCTTTGGGCCACCCGATTTTAGTTTTTATTTTATTTGTTGCTTTTTTTCACTCCCCACTTAAGATTTTCCCAAAATGGTTGGCCTCCAGCTGCGTTCGAGATGCGTTTCCAAAATAATAATAATAAAAAAAAAAAACAAAAACAATGTGATTGGGTGTTATACAGCATCAGCTGCGGCGGCTGCTCTGAGCCTTTGACTGGAGCTGGAGTTGCAAGTGAGAATGTTTGGGGCAGCGCGTACGTCAAAGTGGGTCGACTTCGATTGCGTTCACTTTTCTCGCTTACTTTTACTGTCAACCGAACGTGCGGCCCAATTGCGGCAGTTCAGTGACATAAACAACAACGTGCCGTGGCAGGCAGCCCGAGGCATGCGGCAAAAGCAAAAGTTGCACCTGATTCTGTAATAAGAATTGCGATGCCGCGAATGGAAGGCTCGAGCTGGCGGCAGCTCAACTGAAAGCCGCTTGGCGACTGGGCAAAAGTTTTGTGAAAGTTGTTGTTGCCTCCCAAGGAGACGCCACAGCAGCGGCAGCCGTCGCGCCACTTTTGCCACATATCAGCCAGATGATGTGCCTGTCGAGCTGCGATTGGGAATAGGATGGCAATGCATTTTCTCCATCAATCGAAATGGCTCGAAGTGGCTTGTTATGGCGCGAAATGGCACGAAATGGCCTGAAAGCGCGTGTCTTTTGGCCATTTGTGCTCATCTCTTGGCCAAGTTTATTTTCACCTCAAATGGCAGCTGTCTTTGCCGCTCACAACTTTTCTGCTGCCCTCCCCGAAAGCTGCCGCATATTATATAAGAATCTAATCTATATAACTCGAAGGCTTCGAACGGATTATAATGCAGCATGAAATTGCATTATTATTATTACGCAGCACCCGACGAGCTTTGAGCTTTGTATCTGTATCTGTATCTGTGTCTGTTTGCTGCTGCGGAAGCGCATCGTGAGATACGAGCCACAATTCACAACGATCGTAATTAACAAGAAACCTTAATCAATGCAAAGGGCATGCTTGCAACAAGTTTGCTTGCCACAGCGGAAATGTATTTTGTATTCCCAACTCTCTGATGTTTATCTATAAGATTTGGGCTCTTGTCAGCTCACGAATAATTTGGAATAGTGGCGCTTGTGTGGATAATGAAAATTATGGCTGCAATTCATTTAACCTATTTTAAAATTAAAACCTGTAATTATTTACTATATCTAGCTTCCCGTTTATATATACAAAAATGTTAAGTAGAAGGGAGAGAGACTTTTATGTATAGTAGAGAACGGCTTAAAGAACGAGCAGGGGTTATAATATAAAAGACAGACAGGAAAAAAGAGGAAGAAAGAAAAAATAGACTTTGGTGAGATAGCGAGCAGTGATACAGCCAATTAAATTGCCAAAGCCACTTGTTAATATAACACAAAGGATCAAAGCATGATAACCCGTAAGTCTTACTTGACTTCATGAGAATTGCATAGAAGGCCGTCATTAGAAAAACAAACGTTTTCATTGGTTTTGAAGAATAATAAATTAATGAATTACAGGTTAAATTACGTTACCATTTTAATTTTAGTTCGCTATTATGAGCAACTTGCTCTTTGAAGGGCATTCAATCGCCGCAGTTCAGCCACAGCTTTGCCAATTTGTTTTGTTTTTGATATCAAATCTATAAATAGCTAATATTGTTTGGCCAGGTCGTTGATATTGTGAAATTCGTAAATGCTAATCTTCCGAGTTTTGTGCTTAACGTATTTCATTCATAGATAGACAAAACGAATCAGATAAATGTGGGCAGGTTTTGTCATAGAAAATAATATATTATATACAAATTATATGTTTATATATACATATATATATGTGGAATTTGTTCTAATTGATTGACTGCTAGGAAATTTTGACAGAAGTTTCCTTTTGGGCTTAAAGTAAGGCTTTAGAATTGTTCTAAGTTTGGAAAAAACGACCACCAAGTCTGGAAAAAACGGTGATCAAAGTTTGTATTGAAAATATCAAAAACAACGCAGCAATTTATAAAAGTTTTGTAAACGTGATGTCATTAGCCAGAAGGGCTAAGGAAGTTGGGTTAACAAGCGGCAGGTCGCTGGCTCAAATACAGCAACAAATTTCAATTATTATTTATTAGTTCATAGTGTTTTTTTTTTCATATTTTAAAATTCTTTGTGTTTGCCATAAAGTTTATTCTGATAGCAATTGCAAATCCTAAACGTTTTTTAATCACACTTTGGTCCACAAATTGTAGCATTATCATGCCCATATGAGAGATCCCGATATGCCAGACACATGCACACTATTAGCAATTATTTATAATAATTACTTTGCTCAATATTTGTGTTAAAATTTTATGATTATTGCAAAACTTTTCCGAGAAAGAGAAATCGCCAATTGACGATGTCCCCCACTGGGGAAAATGCAACCAAGTCAAACCAAATAAAACAGCAAAAACAAATGCCACGCGTATGGGCCGAATGGGGCTTATAGAAATGTTGATGTCCATGTCGATGTCGATGTCGTTGTCGATGATGATGCCACTAACTAACTAAGTCAAGTCAAGTGCTTGTATGTGTGTGGTTGTTGCCGCTTTGACGCGCCGGTGAAATGTGCGCAGGCGCAGCTGAAACACGAAACACCAAACACGAAATTCGAAGAGGCTGCCGAGAAAAACACGCAAGTTGACAATTTTTATGCGTTTAGTAAATCAAAAACGCTAATTACCTGATTTGGTAAGCGGTTTCGAAATGCGAAGAGAGGCACTAAAATCCAACAGAAAATACAGCGAATGGAAAAAAAGAGGACTACACCAGGCTAGCAGATATCCTGTACCAGGCATCGAGCTGCTGTAATATGACATAAATGTTATAAATTATATATCAATTATTCTAGATCTGCATATCTAGCTACTGGAAATCGATATTTATCGATATCGTGAGCTTGAAGCGCCCTTTCGATAAATCGATATACTATAATTTATTATGCCTCATGTCTCGATGCGGGTACCTGTTGAAATGTTCGACGTATGCCAGGTAAATTAGAACTGAAAGTCTAAATATCGATATATATATCGATATTTTGTTGGAATGAGCTTGTTTACATTTAACTAGCTTAAGGTGAATAAATATTTATATAGGCAACTATTGGAACTAGGCTATAATAATTATGTATCGCGCTTGAAATCGATGTTTATGTATTTAATGTCGAAATCTGTAATTATCAGCCCTAGCTTGAAATCGATATATATCGGTTTGCACATGGCATCGATATCCATCGACATGATCTTAAAATCGAAGTTAATGGCAAATAATGTAAATATTGCCTTTGCAAAAGGCAGATACCCCATCCATTTTCAACGATTACAGGGTACAAAAATGAAGTAAATAAAAAAATAAAATAAATATTGAATGCACATAGTTGCTCTGCTTTAGCGTTGTTTAACAATTTCACACAAATATTTGCACTTAATGTTGCAGTCGTTAGTGAAATGCGTTGGCCAAAAAGTGAAATGCGTTTTAGAAAGGAAAAGGAAGCGTGCTGGGAAATCTTCCAGCTGCTGAGCTACTGAGCTGCTGTTCGCGCAATTAACGCGCAACCTTGACTCGGTAATAGCTTTATTATGCGGGGTACACATATGTATGTCTATAGAGTTATTTGGATACCCCACTGAACCGCTGCTCCAGTGACTCTGCCCCCAGACTGTTTACCAAGATGTGTGATTTAGTTTTATTTATTTTCGTATTTTTATGGCTATATCTGTGGCGAAACTTAACGCCCTGTTAATCCGACTAAATGTAAATGGCGCTGCGGCAACCCTGGCGCAAATAAATACCTTTCAGCCGCCCCCTGCTGGAGTCTTACAGTTTGTTTAATAGTTTTTTTTTTTTTTTTTTGGTAGCTGCGGGCTTCAATTGCGTACGATTAACGCGTAAATAACACGTGAAAATTTTGCAATTTTCCGGCAAGGTTGCCGCACTTGATGTAGTTTTTCAGTGCTGCCTGCCACTGATACTTCCACAACATTCCGAGTCTGAGGCCAGCTGCCTGGCAATGAGCGTTAATCAGTGGATGTAAATCTCCATGTTGATGGGAGTTAACCACTTACTTTTGTTTGGGGCATTATTTTTATGCAAAACGCTTGCCATTTCGCTCGACAGACCCGCAGACCCCCATCCATGGGCCTTAACTATTTGCTACTCCATTTTCATATGTGAATGCGACGTGTTTTTTTTTTTTTTTTTTTTTTTTTGACTTAAATGAAGTTGGCTGGCAAAAGGCAATTAAGACTAATTGGGTGGCTGTTGTTCGACTCGGTCTTGTAGTCGGAACTGGAAGTGCAGCCCACCGCATTGCTGCTCTGCATAAATTGAAAAAACTCTAATGAAAGGTTTCTCAAAGTTGCATCATAACTAGAAAATGGTCTGCTAACAGACCGTTAGTTCATATGAGATTTTCAGTCTTTTTTCTAAGCTGTGTTTAATAAATATATAATTTATATACTACACTCATAATTGGCCAAGAATCTGGCCAACTTCAGTAGCCAAAACCGCGCACACTATCCCAAATACCTGAGGCAACATCGCTTTAACCACGGCTTCAGCTTCTGCTTCGTCTTCTGCTTCAGCCTCGGCTCTGTCAGCCTTCCCGGCCACGACCCCGTCATCGCATCGCATTTAAGATTTAAGCAAGCATCGGCAAATGGCAAAGTCAACCAGCTGGCACCTTGTGAGCAAATCTCGAAGTAGAAAAGCGAAAATCGGGGCGAATAAATTTCAAAATAGCACCCAAAATATACCCTGTGATTAGCTGCGTTTGTATGCTCCAGCATAGTCATCAGTAAGCGATAAGGTTATAAAAAATAATTTTAAATGAGCAAAATAATTCAGTTAAATATAATTAATATAATATAGAAAGTTAAAAACAATAAAGTGTTCTGAAATCGTATAAAAAGGAATGACATGGGATGAAGGATTACGGAGTATCTAAAATAAATCAATTTCTGCAAAACTGTTAATTTATGATGATAAAATTTTAGAACAATAAAGAATTTTGATTTCTTGTATAAGAATTGTTTATTCAAGCAATGTGTCTTTAAATTGTGGTATTTTCAATTTGAAAACTCCGTATAACTTTCTTTAAGAGACTCAGTCTTCGTTAAGTTTACTAACTTTCAATATTCCCCGTTAATTCTTTTCCTATGCAGCATAAAAACAAACAAACAACGGTCATAAGAAGAGTTTCGTGCATTTTGGGCGCGCTGAATTCAAATTGGTCGCCGCCAGCCGCAGCAGCATCTGCGGCTGCGCAATTGTCGCTCTCACTCTTCGCTGCTCTCCCACTCGCTCTCTCTCTTGGACTCTCTGCTTCTGTCACTGTCTGCTGCCTTGCACGTTACCTGTTGGCACTTTTTCGGTCATGACATTCGTTCAGTCTGCATTTGACTTGCGGTACGTTCGGTTGGATTCGCTGCGCGACTGCGCAAACCGTTAAGTGAAAGATTCGTCTGCTTTGACAGTTGTTTTTGTAGTTGCGAGTGCGAGTGCGGGTGCATGTTAACGGTAAATCGAGGCTGGCGAATCAGAAAAGCGAGCGCTCGCGCGGCCGTGACAAGAATTTTGCTGTGGCATTTGCCGCAAATGTTCGAAGAGTTAATGAAGTGTAAAAATGTTTGTTGTCGTTGATGTTGTTGTTGTTGTTGGTGTCGCCAAATTGCAGTTGTTGTCGTTGTCGTTGTTGTTGTTGTTGACGCTGCGGCAGCAGGCGTTGTGAACACTTTGATTTGCGGTTGGCACCGCCTGACCCTGGCCTTGGCCCTGGCCCTGGCTAATCAACTGGCTGTCAAGTGAAAACTGTGAAGAAAACTTTAAGTCGACTGTGCCTGTGAAAATTGCACTCCTCCTCCCTCCTTTCGTCTAAAGCGCATTAGCGTTGCCAGCAGAACTCGAATCCAAGCAATGTAAGTTTTTCCATAATATCTCAAATTCCAAAATTTAAGAAAACTTCAGATTTCACTCGAGTTTTGGGCCTTTGCCCAGCCAATTGTTAATTTATGCGATTTGAGTTTTATTTCCCATAACAACTTGATTAGCTCTGAGGGCGCGCCCAATTAGCGGCCCAGCTTGGACAGCTAATAAAAAAAAAAACAACAACAAAAAACCAGATGAGCTGGGAAGTCTGTCTATTCTAATTGAATGAAATTAACCCACTTTTGGACACTGTAAAAAGTTTGTTTGAAATTGTAGCGCTCTTCGTCGTATATTCACAATAATTGCTGCTTGGCCAGAAATTAAAGGAAAGCCCGACTAGAGACCTACCCTAGTTCCTGTTTCACACTTGATGCTGCGGCTAGCCCCATAATATAAAGAGCACCTTCTTTATTCGGTCCTTATTGTCCGATCGTTTTGAAGTTTATAGGGCTTTGTGATTGCATTAAAATGGAGACGTATACCAAAAAGAAAGGCAATGTCTAAAGTTTCTTGATGTCTTTTTAAGCTTATGGGGAAAAGGTTTGACAGATAACATTCTGTTGAGAACTACACTCCATTTGGAATCGCAGAATCTAGGCAGTATATAAGAACTGAAAATTTGAAATATAGCAGGTCAGCAGGTCAGACGGGGCCACAGATACCTTCATTAGATGCATATATAGAAAATCAATATACCCTTTTTACACACTTCCCAGGTGTACAGGGTATAATGAAAGAAAAACTGTTTATGAATAAGCCGCCAACAAGCACGCCAGCTGCCAAATTATAATGAGCTGTAACCCAGTCTGGCTACCAAATAGGTAGAACACTGCCTCAAGCCATGTCTCTGGGTCCAGCTCTTGATCCGTCCCCCTTTCTGGCTGTTTCTATGCCGGGCAACACCTTCGGCTAGAAGATGAACAACAAGAGTTGCTGCCTTTGTCTCAAAAATCAATCAATAAACTTTGTTAAATACTTTTACAATGCAACAGTTTTGGGCCAAATTCTGATATGGCTTAAATGGCTGAGCTATACACAGTTTATTTGGCTTTTGTTGCCAAATTTGGAGCGTGTCAAAAATTTTCTATTTTTCATGCTAAATTTGTGCGTTTTGTTTTACATTAATAAATCTGCGTTGGTTTTGTATTGTCTTGTTTTGCATTTTGGGGTCAAGTTGATGTTCAAGCTGATTCTGAATTCGAATTGATTTACAACTTAGCGGTAGTTCGAGATTTATTAAATAGTTTGTTGTTAATTCCTGTAAAGTGTATTACATAAAGGTATATAATATATAGTTTATTTATTTTTTGTTTGATTTTTACTTGATGCCTAGGCGTTGCACGAATTTCGTTAGAGTTTTATATATTTTAATATATATATTAGTTAAGATTTTAACGCAATCATTTTCAAAAAAACTTATTTTACCAAGCTAAACTTACCTAAATTATTGAGGCCTCATTTCTCATCTGTTTGTTTGTCTCTTTCGATGTCTTAAGGCTATCTTTGTTAAAATTTGCAAAAGGTTAACTGCCAAGCAGTGTATAGATCAAAGTCAAAACCTTGTTAGGTTTTCCAGATATCTTAACAAAATTTTGTTACACTAGGCAAATCTAATCAACATTGAATTAGTATATCTATAGTAAGATTCGGTTGAGTCACTATATCAAAACTTTAATTTCTCAAGTTTTTTAGTTTAGTTTAGTTTCTCAAGATATTTTAAACAAATAGACGAGCTGTGCTAGGCTTCAAGCAAATGAGTAAATATTCTTAAACGTGAGACCACTTTGATAAGTAGCTTTATAGAAAGAGTTGCTTGGAACATTTATCATATCAAAAATAGTTCCTTGGAAAAACTTTGTTCTTACAACTTTTTCAAAATACTAAGTCCTATCAACTTCTGCCTTTGGCTTCAATGGCAGCAATCGCTTGGAATTCGTTTTGTTTAATGAAAACCAAATTATTTTCCCAGATATTTCAATCAAATCTCGCACTTAGCACAACGAGCTTTAGTTTGTTATATGGCCGCAAGGGTATTTAGTTTTCGGCAAGCCGAAGATTTGATTCTGCTTCACTCTAGTTTATTTTTGGCTGAGCTTCTTGCTAATTGCAGCAGCTCTCAGCTTCTTTGCCAGATTCTGAATAATAATAAAAAGAAAAAAAAATGTTAATAGCCAGCGCACGTGAGCGGCAATTGCCGCTGGAGCTCGTTATGGCCAGCAAAAAAGGTGGCTCGATTGCATGCGAGCGCCTCTTGGCCGGGGCAATTAGAAGTTTGTTGGTCTGCCAAAATTACATAGAAAGGCAGCAGCAGCAGCAGCAGCAGCAACAACACAAACAACAACAACAGCAAAAGCGACAACAAGCAAAACAATAAAAGCAAACATAGCAAATTGTTGTAATAATAGTCGTAAAAAAAAGTTATGTTTGTCTTTTGCTTGAACAACAAATCATTTCACATTTCCACTTGGGCTCCAACAACGACTCCAGCTCTGGCCTGGACGCCGTCTCTGGGCCGGGTTCATTAAACCGTCGTCAGCTAAGAACCCGAGTGTGGCTAACAACTAAAATGGACCGCAGAGCTCTACAACTTGGGCTTCCGTTCTCAGCTGCGTAGCTGTCACCAGCTGCTGCATGTGGGCTTACATAACACGCCCCCCTGGAGCCCGCTCAGCCAAGCGTGTCGCCATCTCAGGTGTCATAGGCTTTGGCTTTTTGTGGCTTTTTCTCGCGCATCTTTCAATTTGTCGCCCATTGTAGCATAATTGTATTGTAATCACAGCCCAGACCTTTCCTTGGGCCCATCCATCTGGTTGGTTGTGCGTGTGTATCTGGCAATCTGTTTGCTTAGCCGCGCTTTGTGCCGGCTCATGTTTTGGCCATTTGTTGTTCTGGCCGCGTGAGGAAGTCATCTGCATGAGCTCAGCAAAAATTACATACAGTTTGCGGCTTTATCTGCGGGATTTGCGGCCAAACATGTAGCGAGCAAGAGGCAGAGTAGACAGATGCAGCGTGAGACTGGGGCTATTGTAGCTGGCAAATCCTGTGCAGTGTTTGGGCCACACGTTGCTATAGATTTTGCCAATTGGTTCCCACATTGTGCAAGCTGCAGCTGCCTGACAATTAATTAGAATGAACTCGCAACAAAGAAGGGGTATATTTATTTTGTGTGCACGCATGTAATAAATATCTTATTCATATAACATATTCATATATATGCATACATACATTATAATGTCAACTGATCTATCGATATCAGTTTGTCTGTCTGATTGTTTATGTTGATCTGAGGTTCTTATACCTATTTTGCATAATGTCCACCTTGAGAATAAATATATTTCAGCACCCCTTAATGGGTTGTGCTTAGGTTCTGTGTGTGCCCTTTGAAGCCCCCTCCCCTGTGGGATTTTTGGATTTTTGAACACTTCGGGAATGACTGGTCTATCTAGACCTCGATATAAAAGCCAAAGAAATGGTATATAAATACAAAAAAAAACTATTTTAAGAGGCCTAACCTAAACATTAGGTTCTGAAAGTTTAGTTATTAAAAAATAGTTATTTATATTTTCGTGTGAAAGAAAGATGGATAGAAGGTCGTAAGGACGCTGATAGAGTGTATCTTCTAGTCAGGCTATTCTCGACGTGTACATTCTACCGTGTTTATAAATCTTAAGTAGATCTTAACTAGCTCACAAAATAGTTTTCTCACCGAAACACACCTTCTTCAGCTGCTAGTCGGAGCCGGAGTAACGGCAAAGCGCATTTAGAACGAAACCGAAACAACAACTGAAAACAAGTGCCCCCGGTGGGGGGGGGGGGGGGGGGTTACTACAATTAAGGCGTCTACCTGTCCGTTAAGCCGGGCCAGCCGCAGCCGCGGCCTGGAGCTAGTAATGCACGAGTCTCGAACTCTTTTGGGTGGGTCACTTCCAGCTTTGGCAGCGCTGCGCTTGGCTGCTTCTCATATGCTGCTTGTCGTCCCACAGGGCCACAACAATTGTTGCTAAACATAAAATGTTTAATTCTTGGGAACACAAACATATTACCAGTTTTCTTAACCAAAACCCACCCCCAAGCCGCTCCCCGCGTAAACTCTTTGGTTCAGCTTCAGCGCTCATCGGCGCTCGAATTCCATGTAAATATGCGAGTTGCATTCAACAAAACAGGTGAAATATGTTGGAAAGATTTAACAAGAACTTGTAAAATATGAAACTTTCTTCGAATGAGTGCCATAGTACATGAAAAGTATAGTTTGAGTGGTTTAATAGAGGTTCAGAAGCAGCATCGAGATGAGCTCCTGTGATCATGCATCCGATTTTTTATTGCTTGCATTAAAATTACTTACTGGAGTCTATATACGGTTTTATTCTAATACATCGTGTTTTTCTGCTTGAGATATTCCCATTTTTTAAGAAGTGCTAAGTGCCTTCTTCAGCTTAAAACTTATAACAATGCATTTGAAGAAAAAACTATGTATATTGTGTTTGTTTGGGGTAAAAGACCTGAAATAGAAAATCCAGCAAATGGGTGGAAAAAAAGCTAGAAAAAGACAAGGTATATATGCCTACATATAATCAAGAGATAAGCTGGGTCAATGTAAATTTATCTAATTAAATAAATAAATAATAAAATAAATGTTAATTAATCTAATTGAATAAACTCCTAGAGTCCGACGATAACATATTACACAAAACTTTATTTAATATAAAGTTTCTCATAGTGTGCTAATATGCTGAGTAGAGTGTATATAACTCTTTAGTACTATATACAGGGTATGCCAGAGTCGGCAAATTTTGATTTGGATCTTAATTCGATACCCCTTACTGACATTCAAACAACTATCTGACTGACTAACAGAATAAGCTGAAACTATAACTTAAGCTTGCTTTTGGTTGGAAAGTGAGCACTCCGACAGGGTTTTGGAAAATTCGATGGGGTTTTGGTTTCCCTGTTTAAAGCGTGTATAAAAAACATTGAAATTAATACAATAATAAAATAGTGCTTTGTAATCGTGACGTCATGGGTTAGTTAGGTGTTTGAGCGTCGGAGCAGTTACCGAGAAGATGCCGTTTCAACTTCAGGAGCGATACTCAATTTTTATAGATGATAATGATTTGGCTAGTGCAGACTTCACACATATCACAGATTTGCTATGCACGCATTACCCATTTAGAGGTAAGGAAATAGGCTTTGCGATTGTTGCAGGTAAAATAGCTAACTTCAAATATGCTCAATGGACTAAACGCCCATTATTCAGCATTATTTATGGCACGGTAATTGAATAGTTTTAAAGCTGCTCCTTCGATTTGAGTTTTTAGTGCCTCATTGTTTACGCCTTGTTTCCCTAGTTGTCATGTACGGAATGGAAAAAACTCCCACAACAAATGGCAAACTTGTTGTTGTTTTGGCAATCACATTCATGGCTAGATATGATATGTGAGTATGCAGACATGTAAGGGGTGTATTTCCTGAACAATTGCAGAGCCTCGACTCGACTCAAGTCGGCTTGTTAGTTAGTTTGTTTGTTTGTGATTACGCGTGAGGTCTTAAGTTATGATAAATTATGTGGACCCCGCCCCAGGCCGACGGTGAAAGTGGCAATTGTTGTTTGTTGTTTGTGCCTAAGCGAATTCTTACCCAGACAGATTTCCTATTTATTAACAATTGCCAAATGGCATTTTCTTTCTTTTTCTTCGTGCAGCAGCAGAGACTACGCATAGATAAAATATCTAAGACTGAGTTCCAGTTTGGCAGATCGCCCACGCAACGCACATGGAGCCGAAGTTGTTATAAGACGCAGTTCACAGCTCACTCTCTTTGTCTGTCTCTCACTCTCGCTCGCTCATCGCATCCACATTGCATCGAACATTCCGCATTTGTATAAAGCAGCACTCCACATTAACCCATTGAGCTACTGCCCTTGAGCCCAGTAATCAGACTCGGCCTTGTCGACAGGAAACAGCTGCTTCTGAAGAATCACCAGGACGCCATTTTGCAGAGCCAGTGCCTGTCCATGGCGGATAGTCGGGAGCGCATACGCGGACCCTCGCGCGATGGTCGCGAATTTCTGACCAGTCCGCGTCAGGTGCTGCGCCGTCTGATGCTGCTCTCCGAGGGCCGACAGTATCGGGAGGCGGCGGGCGTGGTGGGTCGGCTGGGTCCCTCGGTGCTGCACTCGGTGATTGCGGAGCTGCCCATCGATCTGCTGCTGGAGCATCTGCCGCACAGCGCCTATCTGCTGGAGTCCTTCTACACGAGGTAAGTCACTCAACAAGTCGCCTACACTGTTAAGCCAACTACCCGCCACTTGCTCCTACTGCAGGCTGACCACGCTGAACAGCACCCCCCGGCCGGATGTGCCCAGCGAGACAGTTGTCTGGCAGCTGGTGCGCCTCTTTGCCAATCCACACGAGTCTGGCCTGCGACAGCGCTGCGCCAAGTTGCTTCAGTCGTTGGCGCAGTTCGAGCCTGGTTTGCGGCAGGCGTTGCGCGAACGTCGACGCAGCTTTGACAATGCTGTCCAGGGTTTGGGCGTGCATGGACTGACCACAGATGCCTCGGGGCAGCTGATATCGCTGCATGTGGCACTCAAGACTGAGCTGCAACGACATGTGGATACATACAAGATGGCCATACACAAGCTGGAGGAACTGAGCATGGTCACGATCAATCAGGATCCGGCGCACTCCTCGCACCAACGGCTGCTGGCCATCAACTATGGCGACATACAGCAACGTTTGATAGACAACAAGACCCTGCTGACCATGCTGGACAAGCCGGCGCTAAAGCAGCTTCACACACTCGTCGAGAATCTCAGCACGCGCGTCGAGAACGACAAGGAAGTGTTGTCCTGTGTGGGCCAGGTGAAGCGTCTGGATGCCCAGGCGCACATCGAGAAGCGCCCAGCCGCAGGCCTATTGATGAACTTCTCGCGCGGCTGCGAGGTGGTGCTCCACATGATGGGGCCCGAGAGTGTGCCGCCTAGTCCACTGGCGGCCACTAAAGTGACAGCCGCTGGCAGCGGTGGCGGCAGCAGCTGCAGCGATGGCTACCACTCGGATGACTCGGCCAGCGAGGATGGCAGGTAAGCTGGCCAAGTGTGCTGATAGACTCGTTTTCTCTGCTCTGCTCACTTGACCTGGTTCGCTTGTGCTGTCACCTACGCACACGCGCGCCCCCTCTATAGCATACTCTCACTTGACTTCTATTCACTCGCATCCCACGTCTCAATCGTCTCTGCTCCACAGCGAATTCGTGTCACACTATCGCAATCTCTACATCGAGAACCGAGCGGACGCCCTGGAGGCGTTGGACAGCTTGCCCCAGCTCAAGCATGTGCACAGTCTGAAGGCCAAGATACTCTTCTCCATGATTGTGGTAAGTAGCTTAGTCCAGAATACTTTCGTGTACCGAATAAACAGTATTTGACAAACCTCAGCTGTTGTAGCCAGCCTCTGAGACTAAGGCTATATTTCTATTGATATGGACGAAGATATAAATTATGTATTTATTTAAACTGTGGAGCTTACAATATTTTCAATGGAATTGGCAACAAAAAATTAGAAATTAAATTGTTGCATTCCTTGGGCTCACGAGCCAAACGGAAAGGCAGGAAGTTTTTTCAAACAGTAAACCGTAGAAATTCGCTTATGGAAAATCAATGTCAAAGATGTTGAATGGGATAGATAACAGGAATTATTATAAAATTTACATTTAATGTATAATTATGAATTCGTGTTTGATTCGAGATGATGGGTTTATAAAAGAACTAGCTTAAATTAATTAAAAATGGGCATAGACTAATGGAAACATTTACCTAATTTAGAGCTAGGTTTTTATTGTTGTTTATTTTATTGCTTATTTCAATTTATTGGATGAAATTTGATCCGTTATTCATATGCAAATTTAAAACTTAAAATAAGTTTTGCGAATGATAAAACAGTTATTCATTGTGTCTTTAAACCCGTTAATAAGGTTTAATGTATAATCAATTTAATATAGACGAAGTCGAGAAATAATAATGCTTGTCATTCATATATGGTATAGAATATTTAGAATTTAGAATATTTGTAAAAATTCGTTTCATAGTGAAAAGAATAGATGGTATATATGAAATAGAATATTTAAAAACCAAATAAGGTGTTCGTTAGACTGAACTTTGATTTTTAAAACGATTAAATTAAATTAAATTAATAAAGCATATTGATTATGGAGTTAAGAGCGGCTAGTTAGGCTGCGATCGCTGCTGCGGTTGCGCCAAAATATCAATTTGCAACGCAACGCTGCAAGCTGGCGTGGCAGCTGTTCGAGTTTGTGGCACTGATTAAGTGTTATAGAGGAAAGTAAAACGCCTTGGGGCGAACCGGGCCAGGCAGAAATGCTGAGAAATTACGCTGGCGATCGGCCCAACTGCGGCTGGAGAAGCTTGTTGTTCGTAGGCAGCCATCTAAGGCTTGTAGATAAATAACTTTCGATCTTCGGCGCTGAATAGAGACAAGTGGATAGATAGATGAATGACACCGGCAATTGGCCGGATCAGCTGGTCTTGTGTTTGGCCGTGGGCAGCGATTGCACAGATGATTGGCATATTTTGAGACCTTCTTTGTCTTCTTTTCTCTTCTTTTCCATGTTGCTCACTATGATCAGCTTTCTTTTCGCCTGTGCCACGGTATGCGCGAGCGCAAGGTGCTGGAGGTGCGCCGTGTGCTCAACTGCCCGCTGGAGAGCAGCAGCGAGACGACTTTGGCCCTGGATCGGTCTGTGCGCCATCATCTGCATGAGACAGCCGAGAGTTTTCCGCTGGGCGAGATCGAACGGTCCGTCTTCAATCAGGTGCTGTCCACTCTGCACGAGTATCCCTGCCTGGAGTCCTGTCCGCCGCTGACGCACTTTGTCAGCGCCTGCGTGCGACTGGCCTGGCGTATGATCAACCAAAAGGCGCCCTACTATCTGGACACTGATTTTAATTTGGGTAAGTTAATTACAAATGCATCTATCCATCGAGCATATCTACAAATTTGATGAACAAAAGGCTTGTCCCATAAAATGATTGCACTGAAATTCGCCACATTTTAGTTATAAGAAACATTTTTTCGGATATTTGTAAGAGTTTTAAGACATTTTGGGACGTAAAAAATGTTTAACTTAAAATTTATTATTTTATTTTATTACCAGTACTTCTATATTTAACTAATTATTAATGGTGGTTCTTTATTTTCTTAGGTTTTCTGCGTCCCGAGAAACACGAGCGCCATCCACAGTCGGATCGCCGCTCGGACCTAATCAAAGCCTTCCTCTGGCCCGCCCTAATGCAGAACAACCAGTGCGCCTTCAAGGCCGTTGTGGCCACCTAATAATCCCGGCTATCTAATTAACTAACTTTATAATTAACTTACGCAATTTGTACATAATTTATCTTACTCATAAACCCAATAAACGATAACCTAAACGCTAATCACGTCTATATACATGCATATGTACTCCCTGCCTAGGCACAGCTGATGGGCCTCAGTCGAACGCTCTGGCTGCGCTGCTTGTTGGTGCACAGGAGCGCGTGTTCCACGTAGAATTCGATGATCTCGCAGGGCGAAGCGAAGTGCCGCTCGTGCGGCTTCGACTGGCCAATGGCGAAGCGTTGTCGTCCATCGATTTGGCGCACAAACAGGTGATAGAACTGCCGATCCGCACAGATGCTCACAATGTACTTGATGCAAACATCCGTCGCCTTGAAGGGACGCACCAAACAGGCGCCATCCTCACGTCCGCAGAGCATGCGCTCCGCCATGTCCCGATCCACGGTGAAGTAGTATGGCTCTGTCTCGATTTGCCGCTGCTCGATCTCCACATAGTTGGCATCAGCATCGTCTGCGTTTAATTATGATGTGCGTGAGAGTGTGTGTGTGTGTGTGTGTGGGTAAGGTAAATATATTTTCTCAGCCCGAACACACGGACCTACATAATCATGTCCGTCTGCTTTAAGACATGTATCGAAATCGGAAAATTGGACCACTATATTATATAGCTGCCATTGGAACTGTGGTCTCTCTGGGTCTATCACGTAACAATACACCTTTATCTCTTAAGAAAATATTGTAACAGATAAATGAAATAAATTGGCCGGTAACTAAGCTTTTGTATAAAAAACTTGTTCAACTTTCAAGATATTTCAATTGAATTTAATTGCTTGATCCTATTTCTATTATTAATTGGTTTTATTGCGGCGCCCATGGGAAAACTATCTTGATAACTTCAATCCCATTAAATGCAAATATGAAAAGATTTTCCCTGCTCTGATGTCAAGATTCTGATCGTTGAGAAAGGTTAGCAAGTCTCAGCCTGCTCAATGCTGATCGGGCTAAAATTGGGTCAAAATGTTTGTTCTTTAAGATAACTCCAACATAATGAATTTTAACTTGTTTGACAAGATTCCTTAAATGATATTAAGAAAAATTGTATATATAATAGTGTTATCAATAACTAGATAATTATATTGTATAGCTTTCTTATAAGATCGATACATAACTAGACGTAACGAAAATCGACTCTACGTTCGCAAGGGTATTGACTCTTCGGCCTGCCGAAGATAGCGGGCGGCACTTCATTATCAAAGCGCTCGCCCAGAACTTACCCACAATGACATAATCGTGTGGTGCGGATCGCTGCTGATCGTCATCAACGATCGATTCTGAAACCCGTTTGCCGGCGTCGCTGTCGGCGTCAGCGTCAACGTCAACGTCACCGTCGTCGTCACCGGCCTGGCGACTGTAGCCGCCGCAGCAGCAGGCGCAGCAGCCCTGTCGATAGCCGCGCTCCGTGAGGCTGTTGTAGAAGCGCGCGAACAGATTATGCAGAACCGTCCAGTAGACACGTGCGCACCAGCACATGGCGGCTCTTCGCTGGGTCTCGGCCGGCTGGATGTGCCCCAATGGCCCAATTGTCGAATCTCTGCTTAGCCCTAACACGTTACTATTTTTGGTGCTGATTCTAATCCGCGGCCGTTGCGCCACATCGCGCAGAAGTCGGAGCGAAGACTGAGCAACAGTGCCTGCGGCCAGAGACTACGCGCGTCTGGACGCCTGCCACAGTGCCTATTAATTAAAATGTGCTTAATGCGCAGCTCAGTTGTCGTTCCATCGCGTATGTGTGTGTGTGTGAAAATGACCATATGTAAATATCATATAGATATATACACATATTAATAACGATATTTGTATACCCTATAAGAATTGGTTCAAGGGATCTAAGAGAATGAAGCTGCTTTAAATTTAAAACATATCTATATAAATATACACAATTCTTTACATTCAGGATTAGCATAAACAATCCCTAGAATTTACATTCACCAGGACCCATGGATCTGCGAAATTGGCAGGGCCAGCATACCAAATCTGTTATATGGTCTCGCAAAATATACTCGCCCAGAAACACCCAATTATAACAAACCCTCAATATAATAAATATAATAAAAAAGACAATATTATAAACTGCCATGAGATAGACCCAGGGCAGTTTTTAGTCAGTCAGCGCTGTCTATAATATGTTCATTTGTTCTGTATGGGGAAGCATTAAAGTTGGGTGCTCGATGTTGTTATTTTTATTGCCCTGGCTGGTTGGTAATCCGATATCGAAACTGTCACAGTCTTTGAAGGCGCAGCCAAGTGCAGATCGTGTCAGTTGGTTCGACTCGGTCGCAGCCCGTTCCCATAAGCGGCCACAGTTTGTAAACAATCGCGAAATGTGTGCTTAGAGTCAGCACCCGAAACGACACATGCTCCACAAACACAACCCCTACCCAACACAGGCCCAGACAAGAACCCCTACCCAACCAGTCTCCACGGCGAGTTACTCATCGCAATTTGCAGTTGGGTCTCCGACTGAATGGCATTCATTGATGTTGTACGCTGCTAGAATTACACGATCTCAAGAGATCTTGTTACTTTATAGTTCAGGTACCAAGGAGTGCAGACACGTTGGAGCCAACTGGCTGCCATGTGGCGCACATTTAAGAACTGTATAAAATAAATGATCGATTATGGAATCTGTTATACAATGTGCAGTTAACTTTTTTGTATGATGTATGAATTGTATGGAAATAAATTAATAATTAATTAAATTGAGCTGGAAAATTCTATGCATATTAATTATTATACATAATATGACAAGTAAACATCTAAGTTCATCATTAAAACATTAGTCTTATAGGCATTCAGTCTTATACACATACCACTTACAGCAGCTTCTTCAAACTTAACGACAAGCATCATAACTTGACGAAGACGCATTAAGCTTAAATAAACTTTTACATACGCAATACATTAGCAAAGACACCAGCCATTGCGAAAGCGCAACTTATACTAGCTCGCAGTATTAGAGTTATGGTTTCTCAAATACCACAACCTATAGCATGGTCACATACTTAGTTGGCAGCACGCGCGCTTGTTAAAAGCTTTACTAATATCAAATACTGGAGGAAATTAACAAAATTTAAATAATCTGGTAATAAATTGAAATGTTTAAATTTAGTGATAAAAAGCTAACAATTGGTAGCAACAAAAATTGCATAAGGCATATGCCCAACCAAATGCCTAGAACGTGTTTGTCTAGGCTTAGTTATAAGTATGGGCATAAGTATAAGACCTGTATAAGTTAGCTCAAAGGGAACAATAACACTTTGCAGGCGTGACACGTGCGTCAAATATATTGATATATATATATGTATATATACAAATCAATAATAACAATGCGTTATAATATGATCGCAAACAGTAGCAACTCTAGCGCTACCAATTAATATGCCTCCAACAATTTTGATTGAACTGCTAACAAGCTAGGGCCAGCGACAGCGACAGCCTCAGTCGACATCGGCCGTTGACATCGCCGTCGCACTGGCTATTGGCAGCGATCATAAAGCAACTTAGTTGTACAAATTGATTTTGGCCATATGCAGAGCCGTTTGAATTAGCGATGAACAAGGCACAGCGTGGCGGCCAGCCCAGGGTCTACCCGGCCTGAGGGCAATGTCAGTCAAGGTGGCGCCGCAGTTCAGATCGATCTGTGGCAACAGCAGCAGCAGCAGCGGTTCCCGTTGGATCTGAACGGGTTGCCCATTAATTTCAATCAGCTCACAACTGTCGATGCTGATTGAAATTGCCGACAGACTCATTTATTTACGCATTTCGATGTCAAATTGTGAATTGTGACGAAATTGTTGCGTTTATACCTCAATTATGCGGTATTTTTGGATTGACCATGACAGTCCCTGGGCGTGTAAAAGAGATTTACAGCGGGCCGCAAAAATGAACAGGCGTATGGCCGATGTGGCGTATGCTTAATGTGAGCACACGCACAAATGATTTGCGGTCATTTTATGCGCCACTAAAAACCGAATAAAATAAACACTCATATTCGCATTCACAGATTTGATTTCCTTTTTTTTTTGTCGTTTGTTGTTTTGTTCCTGCCTTTTATCCCTGGGGCAAGCGCTAACTTCAAATGGCAGCAGCTCGCTTGGCGGCAGCCATAGAAATTAACGCACAAAACTCACCACAGACACACGCACACACATGCACAGAGTGCATTATTCAACATGCGAAAGCATCAATGTGGGCAACTGGGAGTGCGACTGGGTCTGGGTTCCGAACTATGGCTTGTTCTCGCCTGCTGCCGAATCCAGTCGAATCCGCGTCGTGTCCCAACGAAACGCCGCTGCGCAACAGACATCGCCGCAGTCGTAGGGAACACGCTATCACATTTGCTTATCCGGCATCGGCATCGGCATCGGCGTTGGCGGCAGCGTCGTATCCCAGCGAATTGTTTGCGCATTTTGCCATCGAGCGTTGGGCAGCGCGGATGAATTTCGCAGCAGGCGCGAATGTGCCAATAGAAAATACAATAAAAACCTATCTAAATAAAAATAAAAATAATATTGGTTGGGCTCAAAAACACCGAGCGCCATAAAACTTCATAAATAACAGCAAATCCCCAAGGCGAATAATACGAAATACCCACAAATAATTGTGATTGAAACGCGACCCGAAAAGTTTTCCATCCAATTTGATAGCCGCATCAATCGGCAAGTGTCAATTAAATTAGCGCGCCAATATCGGAGCCAGATTTCGAGCTCCGGCCAACAGGCGCAACAGGTGCCATCATATTTTGAAATCAAGGCACTAATCCGCGAGTTTCAAGTGAAATTGAAAATCAGTGACGAAATCTTTATAAAAAATAAGTGAAAATTTGCCAAAGAGTGTTGCAGGAAGTGTACAGCGTGCTCTGCTATATATGCAAATTCAAATACCCAAAACGGCAAATAAATCTAATAAAAGAAAAGTTTTTATTTATGCAGGTAAAACATTTCAAAAATTATTTAAGAAAACCATCCGACTGAGCATTAATTATTATTAATAAGTATTACATGCTGAATAATTTTGTAAAAATAGTGGTTGTCTAAGCTTAAGTATTGGACATATAATATGGACTTATATGTTCATTCTTCAATCCCTGAACCTTTTGAAATTACTCAAAATGTGTAAAATATTTTTGTGCAAATATATTTAACAAGTGGGAGGAGGGATATCCGTTTTAATATGGTGTTAATATAATCAGTATCATCAAAACGAATCTATAGAGCCTTGTCCGTCTGTATAAGATAAATGCACAGACCACAGGAGCTAGATACCTGACATTTAAAATATTTACCATGTGCTCGTTTAACATACTAAAGCAGAAGGGATGTTTTTCTAAATTTCCATAATATTGATAAATATCAATTTTAAGAAACATTTCAAAGTATCACTTGAGAATTATAAGAATTAGATCAATTAATCTTTATATATTTAGGCGGAGGTATATACGCACAGTTGCCTACATAGACAATGAACATTTCATATAGATCGGACTGAAACACCGCAGTTTTTCAAGAACGCATTTCTCATGGTGTGGGGCGAGGGCCAGGCCAAACCGCCGGCACTTCCGACGCGAACACTCAATTATGAATATTAAATATTATTTTGTATTTCTGTAGAAATAATAAAGGCTTTTTACTGGTCAGCTACACTAAAACAAACTAAAACTTTCATCTACTAATTGTGCAATTGTAGTAGTGTTTAATACTTTATAGACTCTGATGCGGCTGGCGCTCAGTTAGGTGTACAAAATATACTTACCTAATACCCTTCAACTTGAGCTTAAATAATTTGCGAGCCAAACAGACTTCAGTTTGGCCAATAAAACCATAAATTTTAATGGCACTGAAATTTGGTATGCCGAACAGGGTGTTAATATTTGAATACATAGAACATATGCGCTGTCCAAAAGCAGTGAGAAAATCAATAAAACTCGTACATGTTGGGTGTAGAATGTGTTTTATGCTTAACTTGTATATACACTGGATATTCTAATATAAATATTTATATGCGTCTCATCTTTCGCTGACCTGTTGCATGTAGTTGTTGGGAGTGCGTGTGCTTGGGTCGGCGTGCGTGTGTGTCGGTGTGTCGGTGTGTGTGTGTGTGTGTATGTGACTTCCCCAAACTTTTCCGTAGATGATTTTTGATAAATTAATTATGTTGCCATGCTAATTGCTGCTTCCGTCCGACTTGGCTTACAATTCATATGCGAGCAGCCCATGAATTCTACTTGAATAGAGCCAACTACCAAACGCAGTTCACCTGTTGCATCCAAGGCTAAGTGGCAGCAACTGCGCGTTAGACGTGGCCATGCGACTCATGTGCAGCTGTTGCTAGACCCCTTCTGCCCACTCAACTCACCTTCAAAGAAGAAGAAAAATTAAGCAAATGCAAAGCAAATTGAGGGAAAGCAGCAAATCACCGCCCGCTGTTCATGAATTATGGAAAACTGTTCGCATTACTCAAAATAAATCGAGCATTGCAATGCCAGGGCACAAAAAATCATCTTGAAAATGAAAGACGTTCAGTTTATCTATCCATATGTCTGCGTGTATCTAACAGATCAGCAGATGCACTCGCTGCCCTCTAACCGCAAATTCACATGCAATTCGCGAATGTCTGTGGTGAGGAGTGGGCCGGCGGATGGTTGGGGTGGGGTTTTGGGATTCGGGCACGACAGTTGCAATCGTCTTTTGTTGATTGCGCCTTTGTGTATAAATTAATTAAATTAAAAGTTTCCGGTTAAGCCTCCAAATGGCTGAACGCGACTTGCCCATTCGGGCATAACTGCACTTTCACACACACACACACACACACACACACACACACGCACACGCACGCACACACACACGCACTTTAACATACATATAGGGAGATTAAAGTAGCCAAGCTACTTGCAGATAGACTCGTAACTGCAGATGCGGATACAATTTTACATTGCATTTATTGTACGTTGAAGCAACCCCTTTTTATAGCCTTGCGTAGGCTGGAATAATGGCACCATAAACCATATATCCAGCACCTTAAGGCATATATGTGCGCACACACACACACATCTTACTAACACACATATTCGTAAAGCTTAAGATGGACATTAATTTCCATATGCTCATTCGTCCCTCTGTTTGTAAATAGGAGCTTTGATATTAGAGCCTAACAGCAAACAATCATAAATGTTTGTACAGAGAAGAGACAGTTTCCTAGACCTTAGGTATTTACTTAAGACAGCTTTTACTGCAGCAGTAGCAGTATACAAACTAAAGATACTACTCTTACTCCTTCATATTCACATTGATATTTACACTTATATCCAATTTATTATTTTACGACACGAGTTGCGAAGTACAAAAGCGAATTCGATCTTAATTCTCGCCAAAACTATAATCTTGCTAAATAGCTTAGAATATATTATATAACTCGAGAAAGACAAAACCTTGAGCAGAATTGTCTCTAATATTATCACAGACGACCTGGAACGGTGCATGCAAGGCATAGTTAGTTAATTTTTTTATATTATTCATAGAATCGAATTGCTGCAAATGCACTTAAAAATCGAGTCTTGTTATACAAATTATTTTGTTGCTTTTTATATCCACGTGCGACTTTCCTTGAATTTTGGGTTGGACAGATTTAAATAAGAATTACTTCACTAATTCTTATTCTATTTATTCTTATTATAGTTTTTAGCATAATAATTGTAATGGCATGTTAATTATGTTATGCTATACATATATTATTAATATTTATGAAATTTTAGCACTGAATGCAATAGCCTTTTCCTGTTGAGGAGTTGTTATACTACATCTATACACTAACTAGCCTGACACTTGCTTTCTCATTTGGCGAACTTTGTATTCTAAAAAAAAAAATATATATATATATATATATATATATTTATATATATAAATTGTAAATGTAAATTGTGGTGAGTAACTTATTACGTGGATGTATAAATAACTGCGGGTCCTGGGCAGTTACTGCTCACTGAGTGCATATTTAAATGTAACTATCATCAATTATGAAACTCAATTTCGCCGAAATTCAACGACTGTGCTCGATGTGCGGCTTGCAAACTCAAAGAGTTCATTTGAAATGTGATTAAACTAAAGCAATTGAGGAAATTGCCAAATATTATTTGCTTGGGCATATTTGAGTACCTCACCATTTTGGAAAGTTTCTAATGTCAAAGGCTTCCTCGAATGCTCATTTGATTTTCATTGATTTTTCGCCGAGCAACGAACACCTTGTGCAACGGTGCGAATGCGCAACGCAGCAGGCAAGCTAAAAATGTTACACATACGCCGCGTATCCGGCAGATACATAAGTACCCGCAGCTACATAGTTAGTTATTATTGCGAGTCGATTGCGGGAGGCAAATGCGAATTTTCTGAATTTGATTTGTTTGCACACTTTGCGAAGCAAGCAAAACCAGCGAGTGACAGGCGCAGCAGCTACTCGAGTGGACAAATCTGATTTGTGTGCGATTATTTGAATTAAAAGTAAGTCACGAATGGGTAAACAGCTGCCGATTTTAGCATGTTCGCCATGGGCAAACAAAGCAGGAAGAGTCCAAAATGCCGAAAAAAAATATTGAAAAAGCTCGTAAAGTTGTTTTTCGCTTTCAATTAACATTCAATTAGAAAATAAACACGACGCTAATTACAACTGCAAATTGGCACGCGGCCATAAATCAACGAGTGCCTGAAATTGTCGCAGATTTATCAGCAAGCGGGTCACGCCCCCTGCACATAACTCAAAGCCAAACATAAGGCATGCCAGCAGCAGCGGCTCTCCTCTCTAGCCCACCCGTGCAATTAATGTGCAGTTGACCTTCACATTAACTAAAGACCCAGTGTCAATATTTTGACAGGCCGCTCGCTTGACCCCTGGGAGGCGCCAAAAGAGCAGGTGGTTGTTGCTTTAGTTAGTTGCATGTGTTATGATGGATATGCAAGCGACGCCTCGCAAATCCCTATGGATCACATTTTACTGTCCATCTCTGTCTCATTTGTGTTATTGTTGCTGGCAACTGCCAACTGGCAACTGTTGGCAACACATTGCGTGGGCGTGGCACACCCACATGTTGACATCACTTGGTCATTTAATGGACACCCTTTATGGGCACTTTAACAGCGTCTGTAACACTCGGCTCACATGTGTCCTGCTTGTGTGTGTGTGTGTGTTCTGAGGGTCAGGCATCAGCGCGCATCGCGGCCCAGCTAAATGCCACTCTTAAGCTGCACAAACACACACACACACACACACACATGCGCATACACACAACCATAATTTAACACAGCACTGTGACCTTTGCATTGCTCTTAAAGGTACGGTCAATGAATGAAAGCGCCCAGCTGTAAAAACTAAAATTGAAATTAGTTTCATTTAACAACTCATAAAAGGAAAAATACCTTTAAGTGCACTTTAAAATTTTAATTCTATATTTATTTGTTGCGCCTATTTGTTTATTAATATGGAAAATATAATGGAAGAATAAATATGAAATTTATTGCCTATTGAATTTGAAAAGTCATGCAGCGGTTAATATAATGCTGTCGTATAGAATGTGAATTAGTATCAACAAGGTCAATTTTAAAGCTATGGTGATGAAACTTGTGATAGGTTTGCCTAAGTTTGAACTTTCATTAATAAAGCTGTCATGATTAGAATCAATCATAAATGGAGCTATAGTATGAAATACAAATGCAGCAAATTTTGTTGGCTACATATATATTTAAGTTATATTTTACTTTATTATACAACCTGAGAACGCTCGTCTGATATTTTCATACTTGCAGACGTACATTTTGTATGCTAGGGTATTTAATATTCGATCTACCGCAGATTTTAAATTATTATGATTATTTGTATTATACTAGGCCGTAACGTACTGCAAACAGTCGTAATATACATTTTATGCCTGCCCTTGGTCCTTAAA